AACCGGTATGAAATGGGAAAACAAGGCTCAGCTTTATCTTGTTTAACAGGTTACGAGTTTTTGAGGCTGACTGGGAGAATCTCTGTAAAAACGAGGTTCACGACTAAAGCGGGGTACAGACGAGGGCTGCAGTAATCAAATACTATTAGAATTAAATATTCGGATGCTTATCCATTGATTAATTGAGTAATCAAATAAATTATTTCTACATGGAGTGGTGTTTTTTCTTTGTTTGGTGTCTCTCACATTTTAAAAATGAGTGACGATGCTGAAAATGGTTACATGGGCGCCCTGCTTTCCAGTGCTCTGGCATGGAGGAAAGCTCTTTGAAGAAGGTGCCGCATTCAGTGTGGAACAACATAGGCGAGGACTTGGCCGTCCTAAAAAAGTGTGTTATGTTGAACGGGGCAAGAACGCCAAAAATGTGGGCCGTTTTCCCAGCTTGGTGAAGGTTGTGCTTACTGTGGTCTACTGAGAGGAACTGGAGAGAGTTGGATCAGGCTGCTATGAAAGGAGTCCTTTATAAAGGTAGCTTTTAACTGGTTAAGCCTCTTTTGCAATTCTTGTGAAATCAGTATAAGCAAAGTGCACCGACACCACCGGCCTGAAAGGCTTGGTCAAGCTGCTTCCAGGTAGTGATGGAGATGACAGTTCTTTTAAGTGAACCGAATCCTTAGAATCAGTTCATCAAAAAGAACAGGGATGTCCCCGATCACGCTTTTTTTGGCACCTGAGTCTGAGTCTTTGGTTTTAAATATTTGCCCATACCGAGCCCCGAGGCAATGCCTTGGCAACGAAAAGAGCGTGCATCCAATTTTTCTTAAACATAGAAATATGCATACATCAATGATATATGCTGTTTGTATCAAACAAGGTATTAAGACAAACCCACCGCTCTATTTCAGCGTGCACGAGAACTGTGCACAGAAGAGGAGACGTGTCTGAGTGAGCGTGTGTCACACTAACTTATCAAAGTCTGCATTATAAACATTACAATGTTCATTGACAGAGGGATTTGTGTTATCTTGGATAGCGGTGGTGTTGAACTGCACAACATCATAATGAGAGATGATTCTAAGTTGTTCTGCTTTTCTAACAAATGCCAATAGGAAATGATGCACTGTGGGTGGCACAGTGCTGCAGCGGTTCAGCACAGAAACCTAACAGTTCTGAGGAGGTTGGGGCTTTGAATCTGGGCTCTGGCCTTCTTGGGTGGAGTCATTCCATAATTGAAAGATACACAATGTTCGGTTCATTGAAGACTCTAAATTGTCTACATGTGTGAATGTGAGTTTGAATGGTTGCTGCAATTGACTGTTGACCAGTACAGGGTCTACCCGGCCTCTCCCTGAAAGACAGCTGGGGTAGCGCCAGCTCACCTGTGACCCTAATGAGGACAAACACAAAAGAAATGAGAAATGTTAATTCTGTATTAACTATTAGAAGTCTTGCTTGCACCGTTTGCTGACGTCACGCATGATGACTGTTTAAACTCAAGTTTGGCCTGACTTTTGAGGCATATTTTTCCCCTGGGAAAATCTGGTCACACTACAAAGTGGACCCATTAAGGGGCGCCAATTTTTGTTGTTGTTTATTGGATAGGTGTAAATAAATAGGACATTTTATATCACACTATGAAATCTCAATTACAAGTCAAGAGCTACCGGGTTGTCCTGAGCCAGTTTACTCCAGCCTTGAAAATAAATGCTTATCTTAAATCTCGGATAAGGCTTGGCATATTAACTAGCACAGGGCTGCCAAGGCCTTATTTAACACTCATTAGACATGACCTAAAGGGGACTACATGAAAAATTGCCGATCTAATGGCTTCTACACAAATAGCCAGACTCACCATTGGTCCAGCAGTGTATGAGGTAAGATGGGTCCATTTGCATGAGACAGGGGCGCCATGTCAAAGCTGTCTGATTTCAACAAGTCAAAAAATAGGGTGTGCAAATTGTTCATTGAGTATTTTGACAAAAAAATGTCAAAGACATGTTTTAAATGCCTAACAAGTTTCCCTTTACACACATTGCTCACCATTAGTTACGGTAGATTAAGACAGAATCCCAAACAATGAGTTGCAGCACATTACTGTGCTGTGATGTTCATCCATCCCAGCGAGAGAAGTATAGTGAGTGCACTGTGCAACTGCTGCCATTCAAACAACGTTGTGAAAGCTTTGTATTCAACTAAACAGGCCCAGATTACACACCATTTGTGAGAAAATTGTGACGAAATCATCATTATTTCTTTCAAGTAGACAGTGTATACTTTTTATGACACATTTAAAAAAAAACACAGCATTGCCTTAGGACAGTCCACATAACTTAATGCTAACAAACAAGGCAATGCATGTTTGACAAGCTAACAGTTGGATTCAATAGTCTAGGTTTTAGAAGCAACAGCTTTTTCCAATACAAATGGTGAAGCAACACATGCAGACAGATAATTCTCACAGGCATGTTCTTTATCCACCACAAAAAAATAACTACTGGTAATTTTACAGCATCTTACAGTAGAAACTTGACAAGATTCCTCAAAAAAGAGAATCTGTCAAAATGTAGTCTGGTCAGAATGGCCACATCAATATGAGTACAGTGCACCATTAATTTTGAAAATTGGATGACAGGTTCCAGAGAATTTTTTTCTTTTGTGTTTCAGAAATAAAATGCTTTTTTTGGGGTATACTGTAATTTGTGTAATATCAGCTACAGAAATTTGGTTTGAAAAAATTCTAAATACAACATATCTCCTCAAGCCATTTTCTGAATTCTACTCGGGGAACCTCTCCTCACATTATCTATTTTATTTATTTCATTGGGACAAGCCCCATTAATCAACACAATAAACAGTGTAAATGTGCCGGACTTAGCGTAAATGCTAGTCCCAAGGCAGGTGTCTAAAATAACACAGTGAGAAATCTGATACATTTCTGGAAATAACCATGAATAAACTCATATTGCATCAATTCCGAAGGGTTCTTCGAGTTATGATGACATTTCACCCACTATCTCTATCACTAAAAACCTGATTTATATTGCACAATTTATATATTTTTTGTGATAAGAGCGAAGTGGGCAATAACAAAGGCCATTTACTTTCGTTATCAATCGTTCAGGTTATCCAGGTCAAGTGGCTATTTTACTGTTTAAATCTTTGCTTTCATGTCACTTGAAGACCAAATCATTACTGTATAATACATCTAACGTTGTCTATTGTGATATTTCTTTATTCTTAGTCTGTGTTTGACGACCTTGAAAAAAAATCGCATATTGCAAAATGGAAGGGAGGTGGTGATTACAAGATTTTTGAAAAGCGTTCAGATCTATTGGCTATCGTGGCGTGGAGGATGATTTAATTCCTAAATGGCAGAGACAGGACGTTGTGATATGACAAAGCGGATTAGCAACAAAGGGAGGATGTCGAACCTGTCAACAGCTGATCTCGACCCCCACCCCCTCACCATTTTACTACAGCCGTTTGTCTCGTCAGAAAGTTACCTGGTAAGGAGGTGGCGGCTCCAGGTCGGGGTCGGCGCCGTCGCCGTAACTGGCCCTGTCCGACTGGGATTCGTGGAGCAACGACATGTCGTCCGAAGTTGGGGACTTGAGGCAGTTGCCCATCTTCGGCCGAACTCCTTCTTTCTGTCTCTCTCGCTTTCTCTCGACGTCGCTTCTCTTACGTAACAAAGAGAATATCTCACAGGCCCCCTTTTCCACGGTTTGTTTTTATATGAGCGACGGCGGCGTGGTTTCAACGCGAACGGATGACGTCTGTCCTCCTCTCCCAGACGACGGGAGGGCTGCCTCGGGCTCAACAACACATCCTTCGAGCTAGCCGCTAGCCAGACAAAGAGCTAGCTCGCGCCGATTATCTAGCTGGAAGACTCGCTCTTAGGTTAAAATTACACACCAAACAGGCTCTTGCAATCCACGAAGAGAAGTTAGACGAAGAAAGGCCAGACAGCCCTCATTTCAACTACTAGTAGTTACGCCCGGAAACCCTCGCTTGACTGTCAGGGACTTTCCAGTTTTCAGTCGCTCTCGACAGCGACGAAACGACGGGTGCTGTAGCAACACCAAGCACCGCCCACCCTGATATCCGCCAATCGGCGTCCGAATACGTCCACGCATATTTGTTCGCAGCCAATCGGATCCATTAACATTGTAAATTTCTGTGAACATAAACAAGAGGTAGGAGTCGTTCCTTCGGCTGTACGAGGTACAATTTAGGAGCGTTTTGAGTTTTAGTGTCTTTAGCGAGGGATTCAAAAGGCAGTCAATAACATGAATTGATTCATGTTTAAAGAAAAATGCCTTGCACATACATACAAGACAGTAACTAGCATAAAACAGTGATTACTAAACTGGAATCCCCTCTGTCGTATAAAAAAAGAAGTGTACTGTATTCTTACATTTAAGGACTGTCGCACCAATAAACAACAACCAATTCTTCCTCTCCACCTTAGCTCTAGGCAAATTAAAAGGTCTGATATTACTGTGTGAATAAACAAATTTTCCCTAAATGTACAAAAAATGAACAAAGTACCTTACAATAAAACACAACATGCAGATGTATAAAACATTAGTTCTGAAATTGAGGTTGTTGGACCTCCCTGGGTCCATGAGACGTATTTTGGGGCTTCGCAAAATAGTTTGGAATCAATTATGATGGCGTAACATCCATCCATCCACCCATCATCCCAAACGCTGATGCTCACTTTCAATCTTGAAACTTTCTCGTGATGCTAATAACATAACTCCCTAACTCATGTTTTGTCTTTGTTTGTAACATCTCCATTGGACTATCGAGAATCATTTCTGACACAAATCAGACTTTTGCAAAAAAAAAATTAGTTAGGCCGTTGTGTTACTAGCGCAATGATATATTATGGTTTTGTTTTGGAAAAATATACCTTTATTCACATAAGGTTAATTATGAGTTGGCTTTCGACTTCTACAAAATCTTTGTTCTTATAAAGATTACAACTTTTTTGTCTTGAAAATGTATGACTTTATTCTCATAAAATTGAAACTGTCCCTGGACCCACAAAGTTTGAGAACCATTGGCATAAAAGACAACTCAATCGGATTTTCTGTTGAAACAGGATCGTTCTCTTAATTCCATTTTAAATTACACTTAAAAAAAACATTCAGTATATACAGGAATGTCTATGCTCAGTGGTAAGTCTTGCCCATTCTCATTTGCTCAATGCAAATATCACAATGCCACAAACTTTCATGTTAAAATGTCCAGGTGGAAACTGAATGGGAAATGCAACATAATATTCGAAAATAAAACACAAGTTGTTACTGGAATATTAAGACACACGAGAAACAACAAAACAACAACAAATTGACTCCTCATCGCCATCATGAACACCAAACCTTCCTCTTAACATAAATAAAATGAGCAGTTCTAACCTGAAACACCATCTTGAGATTCTCTGTGTTCATCCATCTGTTGCTGGGTCCCGGCCCATCAAGTCATTCGATCATATAAACACGGTTTCTCTCCTTTCACTATAATGTACTGTATTTGTTCATATTCACAATTTCAGTTTGACAGTAGCGCTAAACACAATGTTCCAAAGCCCCTCCTGCAGGAGGTTGTCAGCAAGCATGGCTGATTGAGGGGGGGAGGGCAGCAGGTTGAGGTTCACACTGTAGTGCTTGTCATTTCTTCGCTAGAGATCCAACAGGGGGACAAACACGCGGTCCCCTCACTGCGCCGAGTGAATGGCTTGTTTGTTCGAGCTCAAGTGCTGCTGGAGTCTCTCCCACTGATGTGGGGGGGGCCAGAAGAAAAGGAGGAGGCTGCCCTTCTAAAAGACACACAGTCATCTGTCCTTTTTGGGTAAAAGGTGCCATTTACAGTATATAACGTCTACTGTGGATTCTTGAGAAACTATGGATGACAAAATTGATCATCCAACATGGATTGTCAGGGAAAGGTCAGGGAAAGGTCAGCTAAATGCGAACTCAGCTGTCAGTGTCAGCACATAACGCATGCATTGTCTTGCTAACGCCAGGAGTTTAATGGATGACCCCTTAACTAAATTAAATTAATGTCATAGTGGTATCTTTAGTCCTGCACTATGGGTGCACCCCCAAAAATTTAAAAATGCAGAATAGTTCATTTTAGCGGCTCAACTCAAAAGTCAAACTAATTATGTAAATACATTCAACATACAGTAAAACATTTTTCTTCTTTCCTCGCTTAATTTGCTGTGGCGACCCCTCAATAAGATAAGAGGTTAGCTTAAAAAAAAATCATGAAATATTTTTCACTGAGTGTAGTGAATTGATATAATGAAAAGGTTTCACTTTTTTAACCCAACTACAGAATAGTTTCATTAAGATGCACCTGTATACATATATTTACATATATTTGTCTTCCATTAAGATCCATTTAGTAGTACTAGTAGCCATTTCCAATACAACCCTCACCCCCCGCAAAAAAAAAAGCTCTGCTTATTTAGTGTGTCATTATTTGAGGCACATGCCCAGACTTGCCACGGCTTCCACTTGATTGAGGAAGTGAAGGTCAGCCAGTGCACGTGTCAGACTCTCGATGAGCGCCATCAGTGCCACAAGGGGCACGCCATCAGCGGCAGTTGCCAATAAAGGAGACAAACATGCAAAAGCAAAATAAAATATCGGCCATTGCTTCCCCAAAACCGTCCTGAAGGAAAAACCTTCCAACCCTGTGACGTGGCGAGCCTAAGCCGAGTGGTGCACTGAGGGAGAATGCAGACGCCGGATCTCAGCTCTTGTGTGCCATCCTTGCTCCTATGGGCTCGAGGGCACGTAGACTCCATTTTCCCTTGTGCCCTTGGCTTTGTGCAGGGCGGCTTGAATACGGAAATGAGTCCGAGATTCCATGGAGTAGTTTTTGTAATTTTGCCTGGACAAAAACAATGTTTCGTTAGAAAATCACACTGAGGAACATTTATGCCCAATTGACGCCACTCAAAAAGCTTTTTAATTGCCTATAGTTGCCACAAGATGGCAGCAAAACACTTTTCACTATTAGACAAGGGTATGGCCTGACTAAATATATATGAAAAAGCATGATAGGAAATGATAGGAAATGTAAATGGGACGAAATAAGTTGGAAATAAATAACTCTGTAGTTAAAAAAAAATAGATTGAAGGTTTGTGACAGGTGGTTTCAAAGACAACCTACAGGCACCCAAAACGCAAGCCCATTTCAAAGCTTGCTCAGGGCTTATTGAGTTTCACAAATGTGCCAAAACCTTTCTCAACAACATAACAGGAAATGAGACGTGGGTTGCAATCAGTTTGAAAATGTTTATTCGTTGCTCCCCTTCCAAAACAAGGAAGTTAACCACAGCTCTGTGCTTGCGATGGACATCCAATGATGACAGAGATGGATATGTCCACACAATCTTTTTTGTTTTTTTACAGTTAATATTTCACACGAGTATTTGAACTACACAATGTTGAAATTTACGAAAAAAATATGGATTCTAAGTTGGATAAATTGAAAAAGACTCATTACTTTTTGACTGCCCTCATACTCACTTAAAAGTGAGTTGCGTACGTGAAGAGATTGCACGAATGTCATCTTGCGGGTGAATCGGCTATTTAATTTTCTTTAAAAGATTTTCTACACTCAGGTTGACATCTTTTTACACTTTGATGACCATTAACAATTTTAAAATTAGCAGTTAATATTGTATGGAAGGTTTTACGAGAACAACAGTTCAACCCTAGCTCATAACCTCGAAACGTCGTATGTCAGGACAGTAATAAATCAAGATCCCCCTCCCCCCACAACCCTCCCCCATATTAGCCATTGAAGCACTGATTTACAGAAAGGCATTAGAATTCACCATCACTTACTTTGCTGCTTCTAGTAGTTTTACAGCTTCATCATTCCGGCCTTGTTCCAGACATAACAAGCTGTGCTCTAACAACGCATTGGGAACTAGGTAGTGGTCATACTTGATCTGGGTCTCACTGCAGAAGAGATGGGTTTGAATAAGATTTAATCAGTAACAGTCGAAGAGCAACTCTATATATTAATGATGCACGTGTCCGTGTCTGGATGATGCTTACTTGCAGAGGACAAGAGTAAAGTAGTGTTCGGCCTCATCGTGATGTCCCAGGTGCTTGAGACACAGTCCCTTGAACAAGCTTAGCAGACACTGGTCGTCAAATGAGAACTCGGACCCTTGACAGACCAATTTGATTACAAAAAGTGAGAGGGAAATTTATCACCTTATCATCTGGTTCATGATTCTTCGTACTTGGCATGCTTTCAAGTTTCGCCTGCGCCTCGTCCAATGTCTTCAGCATGTTTTCAGTCAGCTCTTTGTGCTTTCCGATGATCGTATAGCCGTTCCAAACGTACATCATCTCCTGGACAAGAAGTGTAGCGAATCAGCCCAATTATTTCTCAGCACTCTTAATGCTGCAAGTGTGCTGAGAAAATCACACAGGGGCGGTCCTGAGCTCCAACAGCACTTGTTATATTTTGGACTTGTGCATGTTAAGGAACATAAATTCCGTTTCACATTTCATCAGATTAAATCGTTTCCCCACCATTAAAACCGAAAAACCTGTACAGCGTAATGGAAAACTCATCTTTTCAAGAGGGGAAGTAAAAATAACTGATGCTGTTGTTATACAAGTGCACACACTCTCTCATAAATTGAGGATGTGGCTGTATTCCGATTGAACTAATCATGTTTAAACTCATGTTAAATGGGAGTCAGCACAATTTAAAATGCATTGGATTACAGTATCCCCGAATACAGTTCAGCTGTTGCAATCGGGTTATATTGCACATGCAATTATTTAAAAACGGTGACATACACTGGATGTATGTTTTGAGTTTGAGGAAAGTGGGACATGACTTAATGACTATGGGAAAATGTCCCACACCAAACTCATCCAGGCATGCCTGTACGGAAGATTTTTCCCGGTCCATCAAGCTTCGGTGCACCCAGCTTGGTGCACCGAAGCATGATGGACCGGGAAAAATTCTTTCCCAAACTGTTCTCACAAAGTTGAAAACATGCAATGGCCCAAATTTACGAATGCCGATGAAAAGAAACTCGCCTTCGTTTGCTGATGAAAATGTGCGTCTAAATAGGTTTGCTCATGAGTCAAATGAAGTCTACTTGCATGTTACATGTGTGGAAGCAGCACTGACCAGTGGTGGGACAGGAAGAGGAATGGAGTTTTCTGTGAGGTAGCGACGAGCTTTCCTGATGGCAAACTTCTCCGTGGGTAAAGACTTGCCAGCAATTTTCTGCTTCAGCCCTTCCACCTGCCTGCAATACACATCGTACGTGTATCTATAAAACTCCTCTTTGATATGATTAATTAGACAGATAAATTAGTAGGGAGGTACGATTTTGAAAAATAATCACAATCCCCCCACCCCCAATATTGTGATTACGATTGAGTATCCTCTTCCATGTATTTTTTTAACCAAACATACGTAAGCAATACATTTACCTGTGATAAATAATATGAGATTTATTTGACATAATTGTTTTGGACGTATTCCGATTGAACTAATCATGTTTAAACTCATGTAAAATGGGAGTCAGCACACAATTGCCACAATTTAAAATGCATTGGATTATCCCCGAATACAGTTCAGCTGTTGCAGTCGGGTTACATTGCACATGCAATTATTTAAAAACGGTGACATACACTGGATGTATGTTTTGAGTTTGAGGAAAGTGGGACATGACTTAATGACTATGGGAAAATCCCACACCAAAAACTCATCCAGGCATGCCTGTACGGAAGATTTTTCCCGGTCCATCAAGCTTCGGTGCACCCAGCTTGGTGCACCGAAGCATGATGGACCGGGAAAAATTCTTTCCCAAACTGTTCTCACAAAGTTGAAAACATGCAATGGCCCAAATTTACGAATGCCGATGAAAAGAAACTCGCCTTCGTTTGCTGATGAAAATGTGCGTCTAAATAGGTTTGCTCATGAGTCAAATGAAGTCTACTTGCATGTTACATGTGTGAAAGCAGCACTGACCAGTGGTGGGACAGGAAGAGGAATGGAGTTTTCTGTGAGGTAGCGACGAGCTTTCCTGATGGCAAACTTCTCCGTGGGTAAAGACTTGCCAGCAATTTTCTGCTTCAGCCCTTCCACCTGCCTGCAATACACATCGTACGTGTATCTATACAACTCCTCTTTGATATGATTAATTAGACAGATAAATTAGTAGGGAGGAACGATTTTGAAAAATAATCACAATCCCCCCGCCCCAAATATTGTGATTATGATTGAGGATCCTCTTCCATGTATTTTTTTAACCAAACATAAGCAATACATTGACCTGTGATAAATAATCTGAGATTTATTTGACATAAATGTTTTGGATTTATATGTTAGGCTAAAGCGAAATGAAAGGAAAATAACCTAGCATCTAATTCAACATATTAATTAAATATATTTTAAAAAAGCCAATCAACCCATAAAGAAGCAAGGGTTTTTTTTCTCCCACAATTGCAGCTTTTCTGATTTTAAAATTGCATTCAACTACAACGCAATGTCGACATAAAATCAATTCATTATTCAGCCCGACAACATTTAAAACAACAGAATTCTCCCATTTTAAGTTGAGATCATACGTGTTTTATGACAGTTTCCCCTCTCGACGAAGCACAGTTGTTACCATGATCAAGACATAATGATATCTCTGTTTGATCGTCACCATAGTTAATGATACCATTTTCACTTGGTATGAGAGAATTGTAAAAACTCTTGACGACCTGAACAAAGTGAGCGGCGTCTCCCCGAAGGTTAGACAATCATCCTCCGTCAACATGCTGAGGTAGGCTGCTTTCATATACGCATAGGTTGCCTGAGGGAGGAAAAAGAACGGTTACTGCCGCGATCTCACATAAACCATCAATTTTACCGGGTGAAAAAGGAAGCAGAAAGAAAAATATACAGGTCCAGGGGCTTGCTTTCTCAGCAATGGTGGCATTGTAGTTGTTTGCGCTTTACGTTTCTAAAGATTTCCTGTTCTATGTTGGCGAGACTACATTGTGACTGCACATGCAAACAATCCACCTTGGACCAGGAGTTCTCCTTGCTGAGCAGGTCGGCGTAGAAGTAGGCCATCTTCCAGTGCCGTTGATATGTGAAGCACCACATCAGCTCCCAGTAGCACATGTGATGGAACTGCTTCCATTGCTGCTGAGCCTCGCAGCACTCCTCAAACCGCTTGATAGCCTGAGAGAGACCCACATATGAGACGTCATTGTGTTTTGTTTGCTTTGTTGAATGTTGATTACCCCCCCCCAATCTACCACTCCCCGTGTCTCCTTGTACTATCGTCATTGCAAAATCATCAGTCATAGTTTCTGTTCGCAACTATCTATGTTGTGTGTGACAAGTCTTCCTCAAAGGCAGCAGTAGTGGAACCTACAGTCAGGTGACCAAAAGGGGGTATAATTTGGTGTTCATCCATAAATGTATGGGGGAAAAAAAATCTTAAAAGTCAAACAAAACTTATTTCAAACTATCAAGACATGGGATGTTTGCTCAGTGAGCCACAAAAGCAAGTGTGGAGGATGTATGGCTCAGGTTAATTAATTCGGCCCACCACAAATTTAAATGACTAGGAGGAGTCCTGTAATGTTTGCAATAATTTAGACCAGGATCCAACGGACATGGATTTTTTTAAGGCCGATGCCAATGTTTGTCAGAAAAAAAAAAAAAATCTCTCTCTCTCTCTCTCTCTATATATATATATAT